CATAAAACACTTAATAATTCGATTTTATTTGACCTTTATTTGGCCAAAGGGCAAAGGGTCCCACTGAGACTCTGACTCTTTCTCAAGAGAGACCTGGTCAATGTAGCAGCCAACACAATTAATACAAAACAGTAAAATCAGAAAATATTACATTATAGAAATGCTAAGGCTTGGCGTGGGCTTACCAATTCCGAAAAATCATTGATACACGGTTCGCTTAGGCACTTGAAGGGCGATGGTAGTTGGATCCTACGGGTTAACATTTGACATGGTAAGTTTGATAACTTGTCATGGCAAAAAGCAGGAATTGGAGTTAAAAACATACCTGTAGCATGCGTTTGCTTATCTGTCTCTCACGTCTGCCGCGCTTCCGGGGTTCGTGCTAATATAGCTTATTGATTGGTCACCCGCGGTCACAGGATCGAACGCACGCAGGGAGACGTAAAGTGAGAGAGCAGGAGCGAGGCAAGAGAGTTTATTGTTACACAGTTTTGTCACCCGCATTACAATTTGTATTAGGGTTTCTTTCCATTGTCACGTGACAGCTCATAAGGGAAACCAAGACAAGACGGTCAAGTCAGGCCTCAAGTGAGTTGGTCCCAGAAAAAATACTAGTACGTCTGATATTTGGCAGAATTTTGGCTTCAGGCGCATTTGTTTAAGTTTTACAGAAAGACTTAAAACCACATGGCTCATTTGCATAAACTATGAAGCTCTGATAAAAACAGCTCTTTCCTTGACATGACTCAGTGGAAGATGAGTGTTCTTTCTGTGACAGAGGATGTGCTGCTGATGGTGAGTCTGTTCTGTGCGTGTATCGCATTGGAGATGGTTCATGAGAAACTTTTCAGAGATTATAAGTCTGTAGGTCGTACGCATAGACTGTATAGCGGTGCGGCTTCGTAGTTTACCAAAGTCGTACTACAACATTATGGTAATATGGTAATACTGTATACCCTGGTAAAATCCTGAGAAGTTTTAACGGTATCAAAATTTGGATACAACCTGTGTATCATTCATTAATTTGTTTTTCAATATAAAACCAAAAATAAGAAAACAAAAAAACAACAGTTTTCTTCGTTATTTGTCTCCAAAACTAAAATGAAAGATAAGATACAGCCCCTTTAAGAACACAGTTTATTTCCTTTTATGCAAATACCGTAGCGCTGTCTTTCTACATCACATGACCCGCCTCCGCAATGACAAATCCTGGAAAGAGCATTATCCTCCATCTCCTGAGTGTTATGATGTGAAACTGGAGGCCCGCAGCCAATGAAGTCAAGCTGCAACCCAATCCCCTCCCCGGCCAACAAACTTGCTTATCCTTCAACAAAATGGAATGTTTTGTGTATGAACTTTGGTGTTGCGTCGATACCATCAGCATCTGAAAAGGCATAAAAGAGAAACATGAGCTGGAACACACACTGCATATTTCAGCTCATTTGTCCCATTAACAGCCGGGACACATAAGGCAGTGCCGGGCTTCATCGACTTGGGTTCATTTATGGAGGAAAATCTATAGAGAAGTGACACGTATCCATCTGCCTCCTCACCTCCTCTGGGACACTCATTTGTGGACTTATTTAAGCTGCAGTCAGCCATTAGAGCCTGTCTCTGCTGCCGGGTGGCCTAAAAGAGCAGCGCTGCAGGCTGTACAATGCTGTATGGACCTTTTTTTCGTGCATATCTTAATTGCTGAGAACTACAGACAATACAGAATCATTGTAATACCTTCTCCTTACATGCCTTTATACACCATTAAAAATAATTGTTCTGCGTAGTTCTGGTTTTCTTTCAGAGCATTTTTGATAGGTCTTAAGTGTACATTAAGGTCCACTTTTGAAAATTGCAACATGTGTTTTTTTTTTTTCTGGCTATTAAGGCCTGAACTCTGAAGATCTTTGGAAGTAAACCACTTTTAAGTTACTTAAAATAACACTACTTTTCAAGTTACTGAACAGTTAGTTTTACTGTACAGCCCAATCCAAAAGGGAAATATTCTTGGATATGATATGTGTCTCTTTGACTGACAAATCCAGAATGCTCTCTCTGTATTTTTTTTGTTTATACAGATGGATTTTAGTCTGGTCCTCATGCTCTCTGACATGCCTTAAGCCCGGTTAAACATGATCGTGCATTAGATTTGTTGTTTTTTTTGTTTGTTTTTTTTCAGTGAAATGGAAGAGCTCATTGGTCACATTTCACTTCAGATACAGCAGAGGTGTCCAAATTGTTTTAATCAAGGGCCACATCTCTAAACACAGATGAAGCAGAGGGCCGATCGAGGGTCATAGACTGGTGATCATTACAGTGAATAATTGAAATATCAGGCAATAATCAGTCCTTTATTCATGCTAAAATCCCCCAAATCACACACTAAATAATAAATATTAGCTTTATCAAGGTAGATTTATAAAAAAAAACTTGCAATAAAAAGTAAATTTTTCAGTAATGCAATTCTCTTGGAAGCCTGAGGGCCAAGAAAAATTTGTCTGAGGGCCGCATTTGGCTCACGGGCCTTAGTTTGGAAATGCCTGAAATACAGTTTGGAGTAACAATTTGGCGTTTCGCTCATTAATTCTGCAAAAATCCACAATGTTTTTCAGTCCTATGTGATATTTATTTCCTTTATTTATCCTGATATGGACGGACCATGTGTGTCCCTGATTCCCCTCACAATCGCGCCCATCTGAAAACGAAGAGATTCACCCGTTACTCACATCTGCGTGCTGTATTGAAGAAGTGTGTATTCTGTATTTTGGATCCCAGGCATTGTATTTCTCCTTGCCCAGCCAAATATGCTTCAGGAAGAGCATCCAGTATAAAATATATGTCAAAGAAATCGCTTGAACAAAGTCAGGGTATTGGATGGGACGAGCGTTGACTCTGGTCCCAGCTCTAGTCAGTTATTGTGTTGTTGAACTTTTGGTTAAGACGCTTTACATGAGTCTGTGAATGCAAATGTGGGACAATAGTTGGAAATTAAACCATGCTTGTGCCTTATTTAATGGAGATGTATTATGCAAAATGGACCTTTAACCTTGTTATAATGGTTTTACCTCAGAATTAACTCACTCAAAGTTGTATTTTGAATGAATTTTACATGTTTGAATAACCTTTATTGTCCTGAATTCAAGGCGCAGTTGCTTTCAAAGTCCAGTTTTCACTTGCCCTCTAAACACACCCACTGTTTTGTACTTACTTCACTCTTAGAATTTGAAAACATTAATACAAGTCCACTGCGATGCCTAGACATTTCAGCATGCTTCAAGTAAATGAACTGCTTACTACTGAGACTGTGTAGAGATGACAGGGAAGTAGAGGTTTCGGCGGTGGTCATCTGGACACTGTTTTTGCGATCAAGACGTTTCAAGTCCCATCTAGAAGCCATTTTAAATTTGAAATTGAATTAGATTGAAAATGGCTTCTGGCTTCTTTTCTACTTTGCTTACTACTGAGTGACATTGCATAAATAGCCTCAGAAATGTCACATTTCTATAATTAAATTAGATTAAAGATCCCATATTAAGCCATTTTCTGATCTGATGTTATTGTCATAATGTTGTTTCCTCATCAAAAACCTACCTGGAGTTGGGTTTTGTTTCATTCACACAGTTTAACACATGTAAGAACAGCTGTTTTTACTCTACATCCCTGAAAGTGCTGCACTGCATTTTTAAGCTCCATACACCTTCACTAGAATCATTTGGTTAATTTCAGCCCTAGAATTGCCATATTCTTAGCCTGATTCATCAGCTGGATTCACTTCGTGGAAACCGTCTGACCATTAGGATTCGTTCGCCCGATAGTAGGCGGGTAGTTTTTTTTTTGTTTTGTTTTATTTAACCAATCGCTGCTATTTGACGTATGTAATGCTTTTCCCAAATCCCATAGGAAAAAGGGCAATAACGTCTTTCCCCCTGATAAAATTCACCAAACATTCTCTTTGTTCCGACTTTAAATCCTCGATCTCGGGAATCGTTGCCAACACAGAATGTCTGTCTTCGTCTACATCAGTCTCGACCGCTTTGTTTACTGTTGTGCTGCTCCACAAAAGGGACCCAGACAGGAGCTTGAGTTTGTGCGGTCTACAACTTCCGAGGTTCTTGCAAACCGTCTAGTGTATTCCGATTCCTGACCTAGTCGCTGGAGAGAAATGAAATTGAGCGGAGGCACTAGGTGGCACCAGCCTGTCTACCATTCACTACCAAACTAAAGGTAAAAGGTAGCTGGCAACTTGAAAACTACTGCTTCATGACATCACGAGGTGTTTTGAAGATGCAGACAGACTAATAATGCAGGATTACTCAAACATGTGTGAATGAAACAAAACACAATAACAATCTTAGATGGCTAAAAACTCTGGAGTAAATTTTGTGTAATGTCGGACATTTAAATTGCAATTTAAACAAAAAAAACAAAATACATTATATCTTATTCAGCATGCCCTGTCCCAATAATATAAACACACATGAAAAGCCATGAACAACTGTGAAATGTGCGTTTTGAGAGTTTTGTATTGAGGTTAACCAGGGGAAGAATGCCATTGCAGCAGCAGCAGTAGCAGTAGCAGCCTGTTTGTGGACTCTGCGGAGCTGAGGGGAGGGAGAGCGGTGTGTGTATCAGGTGTGATCGTCTCCGCGGGCCTCTCTATCCCCACCAGAATACAGCCACGGTCCTAATAATAACTTGAAAGTGCAAAGTCTCGAGCATGGCTGCACATAATTAGCCTTTAGCAGGAATCAAGCTAATTGTGGAAAGGTAACTAATTGGGCACAGTTTCTAGTCTACACACTGCACTGCCCTACCTTTGCTTTTCATGTTGCTTGTCACTTTGATTTCTCTGTAAATAAAAACAGTTTAATTAGCCATTGTGTTGTCATTCTATTTTCTGTTAAAAAAAAAAAAAAACAAGGGTTGAAATCATTACCGGAGTCCTTTGTTGAGACTTTGTTGTTGCTGTTTGGAAGATTTCACAGTAAAGATGTTTGTTATTTCAGGGCAGGTGTGGAAGAGGAGCTGGACATGTTGAGAGTGCAGGCAGCCATGGACCGGGCCACGGTGAAGGAAGTCCAACTGCGTCTGGTTAGTGAACATAAAGGTGAGTTTTCTGTTTTTGAAATGACTTTTGTTTCAGTGGTTTTATATTTGTGAAATATTAAATGTAGAATGTATGATGGGCTACGGGAGTCTGGCCCAAGTCTTCGGTCAGAAAGACTGCAGCGGGATCCAGAGGTTTGTATATTCTCTCCAGCGACTACGTCAGGAATTGGAATACACTAGACGGTTTGCAAGAATCCCCGGAAGTTGTAGATCGCGCACCGGCCAATCAGAGAAGAGCTGTGAAGACATGACGTCAAACTCAAGCGCCTGTCTGGGTCCATTCTGTGGAGCAGCACAACAGTAAACAAAGAGGACGAGATGGATGTAGATGAAGACAGACATTCTGTGTTGGCAACGATTCCCGAGATCAAGGATTTAAAGCCGAAACAAAGAGAATGTTTGGTGAATTTTTTCAAGGGGAAAGACGTTATTGCCCTTCTTCTAACAGGATTTGCCCACCAAATAGCAGCAATTGGTTAAATAAAAAAGTACCTGCCTACTGTCGAGCCAACGAATCCTAATGCTGCAAGGTCAGACCGTTTCCATGAAGTGAAACTGGCTGATGAATCAGGCTAAAATATACACACAACAAACAGTAAAAACAGCACAGCAAACTATATTATATACAAGGTCCATAACAAGGGACATACTTACTCTTCATTTATGGAGAAAGACAGACACATGCCTTTCCTTGGTGCTCTGGCGGCATACTGGATACCTGTACTACAGTGCACATGACAAGGAGGGGCAGGAGTGACGTCCTCTGAACAGGACAGAAGCATTATGGCAGGGAAATGTGCACATTTTTAATTACAGAATGAGTCCTAATTTGAGATAATATACAGCAAGATTCATGTTTCTAGTTTGCAGATTCTAGATTGTGAATTAAATCATAGGTAATACTTCATAAGTGCTATTTTTATAATACAGAGAAATAATTCAAAGAAAGTGTTTTTGCCTAATGCTTCAGGCCTGTAGAATGTTACGCCCATTATACAATGACATAAAGCAATGAAGACCACTGAGAATACCAGCTACCACAGTGGGGTGCCAGTGGCAAAACTGACAATGTGTCCTTAGGCAAGACCCTTTGGCTAGTATAAAAGTGGTGTCTCAGTGTTGGTCAGAGGAGCTCATGGCACAGGTTGGCAGCCTTGCTTCTGTCAGTCTGCCCCAGGACAGCTGACTACAATAGTATCTTATCACCACTGAGAACGGAGTGAATGATTAATGCAAATCGCTTCCATTATTATAATATCATTGTCCATCTTCTATATGCAAAGTTAATACAAAAAGCTTATTTAAAATAACTTAGATTTAGACGAATTTATTGATCCACAAGTGAAATTATTCAGACACAATACCTCACACATCACAATATAATATAATAACAAAGATCGAAAATATAAATGGTAATAATAAATTCTAAATAAGTATCAAAAAAGATAGCACGAGACAGGTGTCAAATGAGACATAATTATATAAATGTAAATGTACAAGTCAAAATAAAATAGAAAAATAAGTAGTAAAATTTTAAATCACAGCTTTACACAAGAGGTCATAGGAAGACACTGCAACAATGATATGATGATTGACAGAACATATAGTTATCCGTCACATAAGAGTGAGTTGTTGTACAGTTGTAGGGAGTATTACGCGTTACATAGGGGTGAGTTGTTGTACAGTTGTAGGGAGTATTATAGTATGAATGTAGTCCTGTATCTCTCACTGTTTGAGTAGGAGCCCGTGAGAGAATGAGCTCCATTGTCCCTATGTCTAGTCTAGTGCAGTGGGTGAGCTGTTGTACGGTTGTAGGGAGTATTATCTGTCCCTCTATAGTCTGGTGCAGGGGGTGAGCAGGAGTGTCCATGATGGAGAGCAGTTTGTCCAGTGTCCTCCTGCTGTCCCTCACTGTCACAAATGTCTCCAACTCACAGCCAATCACGTGACAAGTTATTCTTTTTTTTTTTTTTTAACAAAATAAAAGATGCTTCTGTTCAATTAACGTAATATTGTCTGAATAACGTTAGCGGGATAATCCAAAAAACATAGATTAATTTGTGTCAATATTACCGCCCCTAAAGGACACTAATAAAATGACAATTAAAAAAAAAAAAAAAAAACTTAAATGCATAACTACGAGATAATTATAGCGCATTATCAACATTTGGATTCACACATTCACAGTCCATTGAAAGTGGTCGGGGGGGGATCCTGCTTGCCACGGCCTTCTCGAGCTCTGCCTCTCCTCCGCTCCGACTGCACTTGTGAGCAGAATTAATAAGATAACCCCCCGTGGAATAAAGAGGACAACTCAATTAAGGCTTGATCAACTTGCAAATTGATTAGGAGATCAAGTGCTGTTGGTCCTGTCTGCATACATCGCTCCTAATGTTCAAAAGCACTTCACTCCCAATCCAATCTGCAGCCTTTGTCAAACACTGACCACCACTACCCAGTGTCCTTAATTAACCAGTTCAATAACAGATTCTGTCCTGGATCACTTTAATTTGCTCCACAAGAGGTGATTGTGTGCGCTGAAGATGTGAGAGTGCGATTTAAAGTGTGGGACTAATTAAAATACTGGATTGTCTCCTATTGGCAGCTCCACGTCTGAAATAAATAGAGCTCATTTGCCGTGTAGAAAGAGTCCGTGGCTTTCGGAGTGATGAAAAATTGTGGAGAAAATAAGTGATTACCAGTTTACCACAATATATCTTTTGAATCGCAAGTCACTGTAAAAAAGTGAATTTGCTCTTAACCGTGTCGTACCTTTGCCTTATTAGCATTCTCTGAGCTGTGAGTGATTCTTGCATTGTACTGTCCTGTTCTGTCTGCCGATTGTACTGCACCGGAGGCACGAATGAGTGGTCAGAAATGTTCCCTTCACACCGATCAAATATCCCCACTCCACATAAAATCAGAAAAAATCATTTATGGTCAAAAAAATAATTTCTGATAACAAAACCATTTATTTATTTGTGATTTTAAACTGAGATCAAAACTGAATTTAACAAAAAAAGTCTCTTATTCAATCTGTTTTGTCACTTGTTTCCATTTCAATCTTTTATGTTAAATGAATGATTACAGTATTTTCCAGACTATAGGGCGCGCTCTTAAGCCTCTAACCCCATCAAAAAACGGCCACGCGTCTCACAATCCAGAGCGCCCTATACATGAATCCACTCGGGTGTCCCAGCAATGAGCCATGCGCTTTTAAGTTTTGTTTCTGGAAAACGTAAACAAATGTGTGCAAAGCTGAATTAAACACATTATAATCTCAAACGGGCTGATGTGGCTCTAGAGTGGTGATGGTTTATATATTGTAAAGTTGAGTTTATTTATGCAGATTAGTAATAGTAATAATAAAAAAATAGTAATAATTGGCGGCACGGTGGCTGAGTGGCTAGCACTCATGCCTCACAGCAAGAAGGTCCTGGGCCTTTCTGTGTGGAGTTTGCATGTTTCTCCCCATGTCTGGATGGGTTTCCTCCGGGCGCTCCGGTTTCCCCCATCAACCCAAAACATGCTACAAGTCTCCATAAACAGTTGATAGTCAAGGTCAATTTAATACAATCAATTCAATCATTGTGTCCTTAGGCAAGACACTTCGCCCACATTGCCTAGTATGAAAGTGGTGTGTGAGTGATGGTGGTGGTCCGAGGGACCGAGGGCGCCGAGTGGCATGGCAGCTGCGCTTTTGTCAGTGTGCCCCAGGGCAGCTGTGGCTACAATAGTAGCTTACCATCACCAGGGTATAGAGTGAATGAATGCTGAATGAATAATGCTGAATAATGCTCTGTAAAGCGTCTTTGGGGACAGAAAATGTCTGTGAAAGCGCTATATAAATAAAGACTTACTTAATTACTTAATAATGATGATGTAATCTTTGTATAAATCAAAATAAATCGTTAATTCTCCCGACGATCAATTAAGAAAATTTAACCGAAAGCTCATCCCTAATTTTAATAGATCACCTTAAAATTAGAGATAGATAGAGAGATATTGGTCAACTGATATGTCAAGCAGAGATTTTTACTTTTTAGTGCCTCGTTTTAGTTTTTTTAGTGCAGCGATTTTTTTGTTTTGGTTGATCTGCAGCATAAAGAATAAGCAAAAAGCGTGACTGTACTGCTCTCCTGTGGTAAAGAAAGTGCTGTGGGTGAGTTTGTAGTAAATTTAAATAACATAATTTGGGGAAAAGAATCTAAATCTTCAGCACGTAAATATCAATATCAAAAATATTAGCAGAGTATATCAACCTTTGGTTTGTCTGTAACCCATATCGGTCGATCTTTACTATATAATGTCTAATGACATAATTTGTTTAGGTAGGTTGCACATTTTTTTATGAATAGACAAACTCAAAGCTTCCTATCTAATTTGCACCACATGGCTCAAAACTAATCATCCAGTAATGCAACAGCAGCAGTTCAGTCGTTCCATTGTCCGAAACACATGAACTAAAATTAAAATGAAAGAAAACTTGTACTTCTGCATGTTTTCTTTCATACACTAACACTAACTGAGTAATAGTAACTTCCCTTGTGGATCAGTAAAGTTTGTCTAAGTCAAAGTCCAATAAAACTTGAGCCCAAAACTGCGCATTCGAAGAACTTAAGTGACCCGATCAAAGGCGTGGCGGGTTCAGACTCCACCACCAGGATCAAGGCAGCACATGAAAGCAGCCGGTGCCCAAGAGGAGCCAGGGGAGGGACCTTAATGTATGCCTCTGTGCCCGGACCTCCTCCTCTGACTGGGGGTGACTAGGGAGCCACTGCGCCCTTTTTATCAAGGTAGAATACCGAGGTGCCAACTCCCCAGCCACCAGCGCAGGGAGCAGGCTAATTGTCTCCCAACCTGGTTATGTACCCAGGCAGCATGGCAGCCCTCGTGTCCTATCTGTGCTCCGTCTGATTGGATGTGACATGCAGGGGGAGACAAAAGAGCAGGCTAATTCACAGTAACAAACTTCCCTGGGCACAGTGTCAAATGCAAAGCGAGAAAGAAGGCAACAAGGCCCCTGCCCCACTCCTCCGCAGACGCTTTTTTTTTTTACTAAGGATCGACTCACCTGAAATGCCGAAAAGCCGCTCAAAGTTCAAGCCTCGTTGTGTTATTTTTGTGGGCGCACCAATAAATGTTTAACAAGAAGAGTTTTGTTGACCTGCCACTTGTTGGGAACGGTTGCGCTGTGACTGGAGTTGACATTTGGGGTAGTTTTTTGTTTTGTTTTTTTTCCAGAGAGGGACACAAAAGGATTTAAAGGACCCATGTTACGCCATTTTCTGAAAGTTCTTGTAGAGGTGCAAATGCAAGGAATAGAAAAATAAAATTAAAGTGAAAAAAATCCATAGCACACTCAGATGGCCAGACGATGTCCAAAACCTTTTCTTTTTTTTCTTTTTTTTTAAATATCGTTTCGGCAAAAACAAAACAAAACAAAAAAACCTTTGTCATATAAATTTTCTTGCTTTGAACCACAGTATATAATGTAATGTAATGTGATGTAAGTTGTGTTTTGTTTTATTCACACAAGTTTAACAAATAAATCCTGCATTTTTAAGCTTTCTTCTGAGTTCTTCTCTCAAACAGAAAATACTCTGTTCCACCTTGTGATGTCATGTGGTAATACAGGAAGTTCTCCACTGTGTTTTTACACTCCGTACACCTTCATAACAATAATTTGGGTGATTTCATCCCTGGAATTATTCACTACTGAACAAAAGGTAAAAGGAGCTGTTCATTTGAAAATTCCCACTTAATGACATCACAAGGTGCAACTGAAAAGTGATTTTGGAGATGTAAACTGATAATAAAGAATTACTCATACATGTGTGAATGAAACAAAACATATCAAAATTTTTTTGTAATATAGGACCTTTAATCTTTGCTTGAAATGTTTCACAGTAGAAAAAAGTATGTACTCTCACTAAGGCTGTTCATTTGATCGAATTTTGATCTCGATTTCTATTTCTGTGTCAAACGATCCCAAAACTCATACAATCGAGTTGAAACGATAAAGCTTAAAGTTTATTTTGGGATATTTTTTATATAAATGAGTATAATTATTAGATTTTTTAAATGTAGAGATTGTAGAACAGCTGGATATATAGTTTATTTTGGATACATTTATGGTTTTCTATGCCTTATTTCATGTTCAAAGTTTATTTTATTAATTTTATGTTTTATACATCGCAAAACTGCTCTAAGGTTCATATTTGTAGCCTATATTTATTTTCAATATGAAAGTTTTATGTAAATTATTAATAACAAAATGTTGTTGTTTTTTTAGAGAGATAAATGCAGAATAAATGCATCATGTATCTAAAAATAATTGTTTGAATAATCGTGATTTCAATATTGACCAAAATAATCGTGATAATGTTTTTTTCCATAATTGAGCAGCCCTAATTCTCACTGTGACCAGGGTCGCCTCTCCAGAGATCTGACCTGTAACCTGTCTTGGTATATCACCTGCTCGTAATGTTTCTGTAAACTGGATCATAATTTTGGAAATATAAACATCCCTATCACATTTATTTCACATTTTGTGTTATTGTCATTTTAAAACCAATTTTCCAGCGTGCACTCTTTGTGTGCGCATTAATTCCCGGAGCATTTAAACTCCAGCGCACTGCATGCTGTTATGATAAAACCTTAAATTTGCTGGGGCCAGTATTGAAGTTCTTGGAAGAAAAGCTCGGTTTAGTCTGCAGAGATTATTGGTCCTGTGGGGAAACACAGTGCACTACAAAGCAGCACAGCCCGGGGTCTGTGTGCTCACCGGGGACCAAAGCACTTCTCCTTGGTTTGTTTAAGGTCCCAGGAGAGAGGTTGCACAACGCATGCAACGCTGTGTGCTTTTGAACGCTACTCCTTTTCCATTTCCTCACGGAGTACTAAATAAAATACCTCATTGTCCACTGAATAAAGCATAACAATGTTTTATAGATTTTTACATAGAAAATTTTAAATCCCCCTAAAACAGTGTTTTTTGCTGGAATTGAGTGGCGAAAAATGGGAAAATGGACCTTAGGAGCGAAATTAGACCTCAGTAATGCTAATTGATTTAATGTAGGCACTTTTTATCACTCTATTGATTCAGCAGCCTGGATTTGACGCTGTCACAATAACGTTCTTTGTTCCCCGCCACAGAATTGCTTCACAAAGTGGTGAAGGAGCGCCAGGTCAAGAGCAGTACTCCGAAAAAGCCTTCTGTGTCTCTGGAGCGTTTGGAAGAGTCATTTAAAAAGGTACGCCACTCCGCCATTACTAAGTGTTCTTTGTCATTGTCCATAAAAGAGGAGAGGAGAGGGAGAGTAACTACGGCACAATGGCTTTTTCACATAATTTAGCCTGATTTTTGCCATCAGAGACATTTGTGGTGACTTTTGCAGGTAGGTCTCTAAGTAGCAGGAAGTAGCAATCCACTCAAGACTCAATTTATTCAACAATTAAGTTCAGTTTTTGCTATTCTTAAGGATGCATTGTGGAACTTTTCTGATGCTTGTCTCCATGGAGATGCGATTGCCTTGCCTGAAATGTTAGACCTTATGGCATTAAACTTATCTCCAGCAATTGACACCACAAGGCCAAATTACAAAACAGATCTGTGACAAGACATACGCAGAGAATATGGCAGTGTTTCCCAAACAGAATGAAAACCGAGCACCACAAATTGATTCTGCCTCTTTTTTTTCTCCATTCTGTCATTCTCGCTCACACGCACAGAGAGACAGAGACAGAGACAGCCGGACATACATGTCAGTGAGGGTACATCTTAGGATTGAGCGCTGTCCAGATTTTGATATCGTTAAACCTTCTCAGGATTTTACCGGGGTATACAGTATTACCGTATCACCAAAATGTTTTAGTACGACGTTAATAAGCTACATAGCCACACCGCTGTACGGTCTATGGTATGACCTGCAGAATTATAATCTCTGAAAAGTTTCACATGAACCATCTCTAGTGCGATAAAAGCACAGAACAGACTCACCATCAGCAGCACATCCTCTGTCGCAGAAAGAACACTCATATTCCACTGAGTTGTGTCCTTTAGTCCGACAGAAGCTGAACCATGTGATTTTAAGTTTTGTTTCTGTAAAACGTAAACAAATGTGCGCCTGAAGCCAAAATGCTGCCAAATTGCAGAAGTACTAGTATTTTATTTATTTTTTTGGGACCAACTCGCTTGTAGCCGGACTTGCCGTCTTGTCTTGGTCTCCATTATGAGTGTCACGTGACAACGGAACAAAACTAATCAAACGTCATCTCCCCACGCAGTCATAAGAAACATTAAAGATACTATTAGTTTTAAATCGTGATAGTATCCAATTGAAAATACAACCACACATTCATTTGTGCTGAGTAAACAAATTTAGGTATCAATAAATTATCATACTCTATTAGGTCCTTATGCGCTGCAGATTTTTTTTAATGACGGTAATGAAACTGATAACGTTGCTACTTTTGGATACCGCAGGATACCGTAATACCGTATTACTGCCCAACCCTAGTACACTTATTACTTGTCCTATTTGCTCCCGGAACCTGACTCTCTCTGCCCATGGATCGGTGGGATGGTGAACTGTTCCTCTCTCGCCTTTCGCGGAGCAGGGTGTCCACGAAGTGTGATCGGGCTACCCCAGTCCTTTCACCTGTGGTCACCCAACAGTCTACGCGGGTGCACCTCCGGGTCCATCTCAACACTCAGAACTGTAAAGAAACCCGGCGTGGTCCCGGGGTAGCCAGGCCTGGGCTTCCCCATCGTAATAAATGGGCCAGAACCCAAGGAGATCTCTTATGATTGGGCACTTGAATTATTTTTCAGAAAGCCCTGTAAAATTAGATGTACTGCTTGGTCTGTGGGAAACACTGATATGTATGTTTAAATATATTTTTGAGCAGTAAAACTATCTTGGATTTATTCAATTACAGTGGAGTTTATCGCTCAAAACTTGCATTTTTCTGTGAGCAGATCACCTCTCCACAGATCTGACTGCTTTTCAAAAAAGTTAAATCTTGTACCTTTAAGTTTTTATTAGATTATCTCCTTTAAAATTGTTCAATGTGTTAATTTTTTTTTACATTTTTGACGGATCATATGAACTGTTGTCTCACTTGACTTTTTGATTTGACTCACATCGCACTGTTAAAATTTCAACTATATATATAAGATTGTTTGCATATTCTTTACATTCCTGCTTGTAATCGTGTATAAATGTTGTGCTTTTACTTTCCTGGCTGTAAATATCCACAGTTAGAAGCCACCTAATTATGTTTGAATGGAACCAGGCTGCAGCAGCAGAGTGAGAGCCAAATAAAAGGGAGAAACGCCCGGAGGCACAAACCCAGCAGGCATCCATTGTTCTCTTAAACTCTCTCCAGCAAAGATCTAACAAACTGTGCTAAGTGCTCGTGGTTGCTGTCAAGTTAGAGGTGATCAGGGCAAGAGGCTAACAGTCAAATGGACACAGATTTATTGGGCAGGCTAATTATTTTAATGGCATTTTAGATATTATTAGCACAAATTTGAACAGTTAATAGGCTTGTGTAGACCCATAGTTTAAAGGTGCTATACGCAAAACTGACTCTTGTGAACTTGAACTCGTGTTAGAGTGTTGTTACCTCCTCAAAAACAGATGTGTGAAGAAACAACATTATAATAGATCAGAAAACAGTGTAATATACAGTTGGCCCTTTAATGCAATTTTGTTTTTACTGGAAACGTGTGATTGTCCAAAGTTCTAGTGTTAATTTAAACACAACTTAAATCTTTTTTCTATGTTATCTATTTAAAATAATCTGTGTATCATTTGTTCATTCATTTTTCAAAATAAAACAAAAAATAAGAAAACAAAAAAACAACTATTTTCTTCATTATTTGTCTCCAAAACCAAAATGAAAAAAAAACAAAAAAAAAAAAAAAAACGGATAATGATTTGTTTTTTCATTTTTTGATTTTATGTTTGGTCTGGTCTGGTCCCAGTCTCAGTCCCGGTCTGATCCAGGTCTCTGTCTTGGTCTGGACCTGGTCTCTGTCTTGGTCTGGACCTGGTCTCAGTCCCTGTCTTAGTCCCGGTCTGGTCCAGGTCTCTGTCTTGGTCTGGTCCTGGTCTCAGTCCCGGTCTCAATCCCAGTCTCAGTCCCGTTCTTAGTCCCAGTCTGGTCCAGGTCTCTGCCCTGGTCTGGTCCTGGTCTCAGTCCCGGTCTCAGTCCCGTCTCAGTCCCGGTCTCAGTCCCGGTCTCAGTCCCAGTCTGGTCCTGGTCTCAGTCCCAGTCTCAGTCTCAGTCCTGGTCTCATTTATGGTCTGGTCCTGGTCTCAGTCCTGATACTGGTCCCAGTCTGGTTCTGGTCTGGTTCCTGTCTGAGTCCTGGTCTCAGTCCCTGTCAGGTCACACTTTGGTCCTGGTCTCTGTCCTGTTCACCTGACACTCTGTCCTAGTTCAGTCCTGGTTTAGACCTGGTTTAGTCCTGTTTTAGACCTGTTTATTCGCAAAAGTCTGGCATCGCAGTTTAAGTCACGGAAACGGGAAACAGCCGTTATCCTTTTTTTTTCCATTATTCATTTAAACACAAAATCAAAAGCTGAAAAAACGAATAATTATCTGCTTTTTCATTTTGATTTTGGAGACAAATAATGAAGAAAATAGTTGTTTTTTTGTTTTCTTATTTTTAGTTTTATTTTTACAAACAAATGAACGAATGATACACCAATTTAAAACAATAAAGAGGAAACTTTCTGTGTTTTGAAGTGTAAGTTTTCTGAACATTCAACCCTTGCGAGACCCGAGTGCAGAGATAAGACCTAGACAATGTTTTCCCACTGAGACCTCTTTGCCTCCTCAGATTGAGCTGCTGGAACAGAGGATGGAGTCCCTGGAGGAGGAAACGGAGCGACTGAGAGAGGAGAAGGACCACTTACAGGAGGCCAATGAGGAGCTGGCTCATAAGTGCTCCAGACTGCAGGCCTCTCTGGACCAGCGTCAGGCCCAGGACGGCGCTCGGTCCGAGGCGGCGCAGGCTCAGGCTCTGCTGCAGGCGGAGAGGCACCGGTCCGAGATCCTGGCTGTCGAAACCCGTCTGGCCTCGTCCCAGAAAGAGGCCGCTCGGCTCCATCACAGACTGCTGAAGCTGAGGCAGGAGCTGGGGATCCTCCGAGCGGCCAGGGATTTTTATAGGAACCGCGCAACAATGCCAACGCGGGCCACCGGGAGCGCTAACAACATTAACAGCAAGGTCAAATTCAAAACAAGTCGGCTCCGAGGTCCTACCCACCTGCACAGCCACCCAAGAGCCGGCCCCAATCAAGCCATCAGCTGGTTGCGCCGAAGCCCCAGCCCCTCTAAGGATGAGTGGGAGGACATGAGCGCAGATAGGTAATGATACACACACACACTCGGCGGCTTCTCCTCATTATTTTTAGGCGGGAGGATCGGCGCGGCTGCTGGGTGTAAATGCGGGGGGCCACGCGGCATCGAGGGGACAACGTGCGTATGCAAAACATAAGCAAATGGGTGATTGAATTTCATCGTCTGTCTAGTTGGTATTCCGAAGCCAAGAGAAGAATGTGATAGAAAGAAAAGGGGAGAAGAGGAGGGGGAACTACTGTCAGATCCTTTGAAATATCCTGGGACGCCTTGCTCGGAGCTTATTGACTGAAATTTGCATGCAAAATTAGCCACCTCTCCGCACAAAGTTGAACCATTGCCAGGAAAGCCGAGGGATAAGGGGGCCCGGCCAAGCCTTCATACCTTCCAGTGATGCCATTTTCACGCGCTAGTCACGCTACCTCCAAATTGACAGTTTGGCAGTTTGATTTAATTTACTGGTCCTTTGCATATTCACTAACCCCCCCCTGACAGCGCTAAGCATCCCCCTGCTCGTCGTACCCGGGCCGCCGCACCCCTCCCTCCCCACACTCAACATCTCTACCTTCACTCTAGTCCTTCTGGTTATCTTGTGATCTGTCAGCTCCGTAATGCTCCTCTATTTTTTCCTCCTATGGCCCCTCCTACCTACCGCCGCTCTCCTCACTCTTCTGCCTCTCCTCGCCTTTAATTTAGTTGGATAAATTTTGAATGACCCTACTCGGCTCCGTACCAGATGTCTACAAGCTGTTTAACACCCTGTAAATTAACAACCATCGAGAGTAATTATTTCATGTATGTTTTATGCAAAGAAGCCACTGAGCCAACGTTTATTGAGTGATGGCTGGAATGATTTGATTTCGAGCTATTTATTTCCCCTCGCCTCGCTCTTTTCACTCTTTTTTTTTTTTTTTTTTCCCTCGCTCTGTGTCCTAACTCTCCATCCCTCCTCCGAACTAATTCATGGGCCCGTAATCCACCCCAGCCCTATTCACGAGAGGGCTTTTAGCAGCGACGGGTGCAGCCCTGCCCTGCCTCTCTAATGCCTCTCCATGTGGTTAATAAGCAGCGGAGTAATATACGGTTTACCTGGGAGAAGGATCTTAGTGGATTTGTGAAGAAGGGCCCTAAACTGAGATGTTGTCTTATTTAAGGCACCTGTCAACTGATTTGTTACTGTAAAGCCTCCTGCGCACAAGGGTCCTCCCCTGCAATATGTCTTATAGGCACTTCCAGAAATACACCGCGCCTGCCTAAGGACTTCCTCTCCTAAATAGTACAAAATGAAGATGTCAGTTAAGGGTGCTGACAAGTCTCTGTGTGTTTTTTTTTTGTACTTTTCTTTTCCGGCCGCCTCTGGCTGCCTCACAGGTTTTGAGCTGCTGGAGCTATTCTGGGCAGAGCGGGCAGTTTTTAAGGCAGGGGAGAATTTAATCAGTTGAATGTTTTACCTTGTAGTACACGAGTACACAAAGCTGGAGCTGGATCACAAACTGTTGACCCCAGTTAGTGTTACAATGGAATAGGCTGCACCGTGCAAGAGTATATAAGAGTATAGCACTGCAGAATATAAAAAAATTTAATTAATAAATACATTTACAGGCTGCTTACACTGTCATGTATATAGGGCAGTGCTCCCTGTATTGATGACCTACTAAGTTCAGTCTCAAACTGATCCAAATTCTCTGTCAAGCTGTTTGCCAGCACAGATATTTTATCATTGTCTCAGAGGTATGTTATTGCTTTGCTTGGAATTTTCCATAGTAGGGCATTAAACAAACAAACAAACAAACAAAAAATTCTAGGAAATCCACATGTCTGACTTGCAACTTGCCTGGTGGCTTCACTTGCTTGTCTCCATGGCGATTGATAAATTTAGTCATATATTTGTGGAACATTTCAAACTTGCGCCAAATTGTGATCGTTTGGATGATGAATATTGTAAAGGAATATTATAGACGTTGGTTGATCCAGATGAAAGAGGGCAATAGTTAGATAAATGAATACACTAACGCAGGCATGTCTAAACTATGGCCCGTGGTCCAAATGCGGCCCTCAGACTAATTTTTCTTGGCCCTCAGGCTTTCAGGTGAATTGGCCCAAATGACCTTGCATCAATTAAAAATTAACTTTTTACTGCAAGTTTTTTTGAAAATCTACCTTGGTAAAGCTTATATTTAATATTTAGTGTGGGATTTTAAGGATCTTAGCATCAATAAAGACTGATGGGTCATTTTAACATGTTAAACATGCACATATTTCAATTATTCACTATATTCAGCACTAGGGCTGGGTATCATGAAGAAGTTGCCGATACGATATATACCACGATACATACTTCACAATACAGTGCACTTTCAATTTGATACAATATATTTCAAATCGATTTGATACGGTTCAATAAAAAATAAAGGCTATGGCTGATACTAAAAGTCTTTGTTAAACCACTTCTTGAGCAAAGTTCATATAAAACACAAACATTTTAACAGTGACAATGTCAAATGTGTCACATAAACGAGTTTCTTTCCTCCAAACAAGCAACAAAACTGTAGCTCTGTAACAAAATAATTTAGTAAAATACACCAAAAAATACTCTCACCAGTATATCAATACAGCAGCCCATGATATCGATACTGTATCATCACATTAAACGATACGATATATATAAATATTTCAATATTTTTGCACACCCTTATTCTGCACTGGTCTAAGACCCTTGATCAGACACCTGCTTCATCTGTGTTTAAATATGTGGCCCTTGAAAAGTTTGGACACCCCTGCACTAACAGATATTCAAATGGCAAAATAATGTATTATATCCAAATATAGAATGGACTTATCAACATTTTAACACATTTCATTTCTCATCCTCACATAAAATTTCACAAGTTCTAGTTCCTAGGCTGGCCCTTTGGTACAGGCGATAATCTCTCCTGCCCAAGTCCCCGTGCCCCTTCCCGGCCCTGGTTTAACCCTAACTAGCCCCCAGCGCTGTCATGTACCTCTCAGATCCTCCCTCTCTTTCTCTCTCCTTCTCTCTGTGCACTCTTTACCTCTGTTGCTTCTCCCAGGCCCCACCTTAATAAACCCCGCCAGCGTAAATGTCACTGGCTTCCACCTTCACGTCAAAGGTTACCGTCAATAAACCTGTGCGAGTGTGTGTGTGTGTGTGTGTGTGTATGTGTGCGTGTGTGTGTGTGTCCGTCAGATACAACTTGGCTCGTCTCACCCGTCTGTCACACAGGGCCCTGGGCTAATGAAGGCCACAGCCGCCCTCATACATGTTGATGCATTCACTCCTCACTTAATTTACCAGCGCATTTACACTTCCAGCTTCAGAAATTGGACGGGACATTGATTTTCTGTTGGTAAGGGGGGATGCACATATTTTTGCTTGATGTCAACTAAATCAACCATAAAAGGTAAATTGGATTTTTGTCCAAGGGTGGTAAGTTTGAGAACCAGGGGTCTTCGGGGCACAACTTCTGGTCCATGGTAATGTTTTGTTTCTTCGGTTACAGTGACAGTGGAGACGAGTACACGGACAGCCTCAACAGTGTGACAAGGGGTGAGTTTAGAAGGAGACGTGCGCACAGAAAGGTACGTTCTTACGTGTTAATGGTTTATGCACAAAGAGGGGCATTTATGTATAATTTTTTAAAGATTTCTACAATTTTATAACATTGTTCCCTCATTATAAACATGCCTGAAGAGGTTTTAGATGTCATTCATGCATGTTTGAGTATTTTAGTGATCTCTACCGAGCCTTATTCGAACCCTTCTTGTAGATTCTGTGCAATACTTCACCCACAAGTCTACGTCACCCATGCTGCCACACGACAGTTCTCTATAAATCTACAAAAACATGACGCAAAATTGTACACAGCAAATTGACAAACTTAAGGAGATGTGCAGTAGTTTTGATGGTGGATTGCAGTCTGAAGGGGAGTGACTTAACGCTGGAAGCAAAAGGAGAGTAGAGTGTAAAAAACTAAATATACACTACTGGTCAAAACTTTTAGAACACCACAATTTTTCAATTTTTTTTACTGTTTACTGTTCTACCTATCGTCATGAGCTTTGGGTAATGACCGAAAAGACAAGATCACGGATACAAACGGTCAAATTGAGTTTCCTCTGCAGAGTGGCTGGGCGCTCCCTTACAGATAAAGTGAGGAGCTCAGTCACACGGGAGGAGCTCGGAGTAGAGCCGCTGCTCCTTCATGTCGAGAGGAGCAGCTGAGGTGGCTCGGGCATCTGTTCCGGATGCCTCCTGGACGCCACTCTGGAGGGGTTTTTCGGGCATGTCCCACTAGGAGGAGGCCCCAGGGGGAAAAAACGGGACACGCTGGAGGGACTATGACTCTTAGCTGACCGGGGAACGCCTCAGGATCCCCCTGGAAGAGTTGAAGGAAGTGTGTGTGGAGAGGGAAGTCTGGGAGACCCTGTTCAGACTGTGGCTCCTGCGAACCGCCCCCAGATAAGTGGAAGAAAATGGATGGATGTTCTATATATTCTAAAGTTTTGATTCTTGAAAGATATAACAGCTGAACACACTCGTGGCTCGTACTTTTTAGAACTAGAAATCAAATATTCTTCAGAAAGTTCTTCCCAAGTCTGTTGCAGAAGTTCCCATAAATGTGTGGCACTTGTAGGTTGTTTGTCTTTCACTCTTCTGTCCAGTTCATCCCAAACCAGCTCGATGGGGTTTTATGGAGACTGTGCTGGACACAAACTCACCATCTTATTCTTTTTTCCTGAGGTAGTTTTGGCAGAGCTTGGACTTGTGTTTTGTATCTTTTATCTTTTTTTTTTAAACCTCTGGCTGTTCTGTTCTTACCTTTGTATCAATTCAAGCTCTTCATTGGACTTTCACGACTTGAATTAATAACTGGAAAAATTTGGGTTTTCTGAAACTTTTGACCGGTAGTGTACATTGTTTTCAGCAAATAAACCATTTTCAAAACAATAAAAGGCAACTATCAAGCTAATGTGCACTTCCTGGTTGTCTGACAGTAAAACGATTTATAATTAGATACAGACAGTAAACAGGTCACTTTTCATCCCAGATGCTGCTAGTACTAAATATCTTTACAGAGGCAAGACTTTCTACTTAAATACATGGGGAAATCAGGTGCAGGACATTAAATGGAGAAAAATATTAAAGTATTCTAGTTCTTCTTTTTGGTTTTGCATAGAATTAATTAGGGCAGATTATCATTAAGAAGTTGCCAATACGATACATATCTCGATACATAGACCATGATACGATACGCTTTTATATAATATAGTGAGCTTTCGATTTGATACAATATATTTCACATCGATTTGATACGGTTTCGTGTAAAAAAGACTAAATGATGGCTCTAATACTAAAAATCCACCAGGTTTGTGCAAAGTGAATGTAAATTTCATTTTTCTCCAGCGACTAGGTCAGGAATCGGAATACACTAGACGGTTTGCAAGAACCCTGGAAGTTGTAGACCGCACACCAGCCAGTAAGCGAAGAGCTGTGAAGCCATGATGTCAAACTCAAGCACCTGTCTGGGTCCCTTTTGTGGTACAGCACAACAGTAAACAAAGCGGTCGAGATGGATGTAGACGAAGACATTCATTCTATGTTGGCAACGATTCCTAGGATCGAGGAGAAAGTTTGGTGAATTTTATCAAGAGGAAAGACGTTATTGCCCTTCTTTCTATGGGGATTTGGTGCATTACATACGTCACGACCAAATAGCAGCAATTGGTTATAAAAAAAATTACCCGCCTACCGTCGAGCGAACGAATCCTAATGCTGCGAGGTCAGACAGTTTCCACGAAGTGAAATCGGCTGATGGAAAAACAAACATTTTACTCAAAACAGTGAAAATGTCAACACAACTGTAGCTCTTACACTAATTAATTTGATAAAATATACCTAAAAATACACCATATGTAAATAAATATAAATATGATGATATTTCGATACAGCAGCACACAATATCAATACTGTATCAACACATTAAAGGACACGATATATGGATATTTTGATATTTTTGCACACTCCTAGAATTATCGTGATGACGTGATTGAATCCAGTATAGCAAAAGAAGATGGTTAGTGTGTGTGTGTGTGTGTGTGTGTGCGCGTGTGTGTGTGACTGTATGTCCCTTGGAAAGACCAGCTGAAGCCTAAGCAAAGCCGCTGTCTTGTCTTGGTGGCAGAGTGTGGAGGTGGATTGTGTGAGCTTTGTATCTCGGTCTTATCCCTGTCTGCTCGGATACGTGCGGATCCACTGGAGATGAGCGACTACTGCACACCGGGAGCTGCTATGACACCTCTGTGATGACTCTGGCTCAAGAGTCTTTACACCTGGCAGTACATGCTTGTCTCAGAGTACAGTGGATCTGCCTGTGTTATCGGGGGCTTGAACACTCCACGCTGTAGCCTTTCGATGTTCGCACTGCACCTTGAAGTTCCAATGGGCCATAACTGATCCCTCTTTACATCTACACAAAAGCTATGTAAATGTGATCTGTCGCTGACAAAAATGTGCCCACAGGCGTCGTCTAAAAAATACGTTGACATGACATAAAAGAGACTGCCGTTACAGTGTCTACAAAATACTGTTGACATTCTGTGTTATGCAAAACTGACTCCTCTAGTTTACAGCCAGTTTACTGCTGTTTAGGGATGGGCATTTGATTACATTTTCTTAATCGATCGTCAGGAAAATGAACGATCGATTTTCAATTAATCATTAACGTTTTTTACATTTAAATTATCATAATTATTAATCTGCATAAATAAACTCAACTTTACAACAGATAAACCATAACCACTCTAGAGCCACATCAGCCCATTTGAGATTATAATGTGTTTAATGCAGCTTTGACACGTTTGTTGACATTTTACAGAAACAAGACTTAAAATAAACGCATAAACTATAAGCTCTGAAAAAACAGCTCTTTCCTTGTGTCCTGGTCCCGTTCAGCTTCTGTTGGACTAATAAAGGACATGACTCAGTGGAATGAGTCATAAGTGTTCTCTGTGTGACAGAGGGATGTTGATGATGATGGTGAGTCTGTTCTGTGTGTGTTGCGTTGAAGATGGTTTGTTTTCAGAAATCATACGTGTGCTGGTTTAGCTCAGCTCTTTATTTAACATTATTTCTATCACTTTATTTATTTTGCTTCTGTTGTGATTAAAAGAGTGAAAAGTGTTTGTCTTTTGGACACATTTGCACTCAGCTTAATGAGCAGTAACCAGGATACTGCGTATTCATGCACCATGACAAAACCGGGATACTCAAAAAAACCCGACAATACCCGGGACACTGATGTGCTGTAAACACACTCACTGAGTGGTACAGTGTCTCCAAGGAGGTGCCAGAGCCGAGACGTGGGACTGTGAGGCCACAACTCCAGTGTGCGCTGTCAGACACAGCCTCATCTCCTTACGCTACGCTACGCACAGCAACCTACATTCGGTTTGTCGATTAAAAATTCTTAATGATCAATTATCTATTTGTCAACCAATCATACCCATCCCTAATGCTGTTACCCCAAATAAAACATACCTGGAGTTGTGTTTTATTTCATTTTTGTTTCACACATATTTGCTTTATGAATCTGTCCACATCTCCAAAGCTCAAAATGCTCCATTTCACCTTGTGATGTCAGGAAGCATTAGATTTGTAGGTTAACAACTGCCCTACTTACCTTTTGTTTAGTAGAGACTGGAAATTCCAGGGATGAAATCATCTAACTGATTCTAGTGAAGATGTGTGGAGTTTAAAAACACAGTGGAGCACTTCCTTGTATTACCACACGACATCACAGGGTGGAAGTGTTTCCCATCTGAGAGGAAAGCTCAGCGTAAATATGCAGGATTTGTGTGTTTGAATGAAAAAAAAACACAACTCTAAGTATGTTTGTGATGAGGAAACCACAAAACAGTGTAATATGGGCCCTTTAATGTTGAAAATTAGATTCTATTGTCTAAATAAAGATGTTTTTTTTGGTATTGAGTATCACGTTTATTCCTTAGCATCGAAATCAAGTTTTAATTTCTAGTATCATGACAACACTCTTCTGTAACACCATATAAACCCACTGTGCCGCTCCCATAGACCTTGAGCTGTCAGGACACCTCAGTCTTGCAGCTGATCCCCTCGCAGTTTCCTCATTCCCAATCGGACTAAACTCTCCCATCAGCTCCTCCCGGGCTCATCGCCGTGACAACCCCCCCAGCCCCCTTGAACCTTACCCCGTCACAACCGCAAAGCTCCTGTCTCCTCTCCCCCCTCCGTGTGATCAAACCTGCCACTGATCAAATGCTACCTGCCCTTCGCCGCTGAGAGGGAAGCTCCTTTGATGCCACTACAAACGCCCGAGCGGTTGGAGGTGTCACCCGCGTACGGACACTTAGAAGCAGCCACGCTCGCGCCATACAAATGAACGGGGGCTTTTAGACGGCGATTGAACAAAGGAAGTGTTGGCGGGCACATGTCAGGGACGATATCCGCTCGGAGAAAAGCAGGAGTTGGAGTCAGGAGTACACGCTCAGGTGAATTATTAAAGCTGTGGGTGATTTGTCTGGTGGAGTTACACGGAGACGCCCTGTGATCATGGTGTCATTAGGAGAAGTGTTCCCACAAGCATGACATGTCACCAGTTATGTTAGATTAAACATATGTCGTCTGATTTAGGAAGCGGGTGGCAGCGTTAGGAGCAGTGCAATGAGATAAAATGTAATGTAAACATGATTAAAGGGCCCATATTACACAAAATTGACCCTTGTGAGCTTTAAACCATGTTAGAACGTTCTTACCTCATCAGAAACATACTCAGAGTTGTGTTTTGTTTATGTAATCCTGCATTTTTAGTCTGTCTAGTGGTAGTTTTCAAGTTAACAGCCACATTTTACCTTTTGTTTAGTAGAGATGGGCGATTTCAGTTTTGAAATTAAGATCAGGTTTTGTGTGTTAAAGTTAAAGTGCGAATGAAACAAAACTCAACATCAGGTATGTTTTTGATGAGGAAACAACATTCAAGGTTCCCACAGTCAGGGAAATCCTGGAAAAGTCATGGAAATTGAAAGTGTCATTTTCCAAGCCTCGAAAAGTCATGGAATTTTAGTATCTTTTTCACACAACTAGAGCATTCTGTAGTTAAGTTATCATTAGGCTATTATGATTATATCCTTACGTATGAGCCTTTCACATAAAAGAGACAATAATAAATGCACTGACAGTATTTTGAATGTTAAAAAAACTATAATACCAAACCATAAGGTGAGTGGAAAGGGTTTTCATATTTAGCCCTAAAAGTATGATCAATTCTACACATGCAGGTTCCGTAAAGTCATGGAAAATTCACTTAAGGTCATGAAAAATGGAAAGGTTTTTAAATTTTGTCAGTGAAAAAGAGTGGGAACCCTGAACATTATAATATACATCAGAAAATCACATGAAACTCAAGTGACATTTGGCAATTAAAAATGTTGTACCTGATTTTTAAAAGTGAATAACAGAACTAATTAAGTTTATCCTCACTTACCGATCGCATTCCTAGCATCCCAATTATTCATCACGATTAGTCTACAAGTGCTTAATAAGTACTGATAGATTGCTTCATATCAGGGATGGTACAGCAAGCAGCAGATTTTTTTTTTCATTTGTACCAAAATGGCTACACAACACTAACCTGATTCATCAGCCCATTTTAATTTGTTTCTCTTTGTACAAACCGTCTGACCTCGCAGCCTTAGATTTCGTTCGCTCGACGGTAGGCGGGAACTTTTTATCATTTAACCAATCGCTGCTATTTGGTTGTGACGTATGTAATGCGCCGCTAACGGGACTTACTGGTATATTAAGCTTTTCCCAAATCCTGTAGGAAGAAGGGCAGTAACGTCTTTCCCTTTGATAAAATTCTTTGTTCCGGCTTTAAATCCTCGATCTCGGGAATCGTTGACAACACTTAATATATGACGCTTCACTGATTGGCTCATGTTTTTGCGAATCGTCTAGTGTATTTTGATTCCTGACCTCGTCGCTGGAGAGAAATGAAATAGAGCAGAGGCACTAGGTGGCGCCGGCCTGGCCAACACAACACTGCCAAATCCTACGTGTATCACCAATTAAGAGAATAAAATAGCTGAACAGAGCAGTTAGTGGCAGTAAAAACAGGAGTTGATTGGCAAAATAGCATCTTGAAAATATGTGAAATTGCTCAAACATGCACAAATCATTCCAAATACAACTTCAAGTGAGGGGAAACTGTTAAAATGTAGTTAAAAGCTCTAAAAAGTCGCATAATAGGTCTGCTTTAACCTACCTCAACATATATAACACATATGTGGCACTGGTGTATGATTATGTTTGTTGTTTTGGTGGCTTTTACATATTTGCCAGTTTGTGTGTGGTTGTGTATTTTGGATTTTGCACAACTCGGTTCAGTTTAATTTCATTTCCATTTCATTTTCTTGTCTCTCTCGCAGTCTTACAGGCCCGCACAGATTTCAAAGACTAAAGAGCCGCCTGTAAACTCCTCCAGAAACCCACTTCTAAACCAAGGTAAGTTTCTCAATACTCATCCGTGCAGAACTACAAAACCTAATCGACTATTAATCAGATCCAAAAGAACATTCACACACTGATGATCGGAAACAAGTTTTCTGGGAAGTTTACACGCGTTTTTTTTCCGTCTTCCTCTCCTGCATTATTCATAGATGTAAAATGTTAATCATAAGTTGTTAAATATATCACACTTGTACGTACACAGAGACACTCCCAGCAGTAGCTTTCTAAATACGGATTTGAAGAGTTTTTTTTTTTCTTGTCAACTGAGAGGCGCCTGTATGTATGACTTCCTCCCTGTTAGATGATGAACAGTGCGAGTCCTGGGATCGGGGAGGAGAGAACAGGAGGTGGAGGAGACAGAAGAAAAAGACACAGGCCTGCCCCTCCTCTTCTTCTTCTTCTTCTTCTTCTCTGCGGCAGCGCGTTGAGTCCCTCCAGCGTCACCACGGCAGGATGAGAAAAGCCAGAGACGAAGCGCTGGTGTCGGCCCGAGAGCTGCGCGCCGCCAAAGAGAAGATAACAGAGCAAGTCAACTCCCTCACTGACAGGCTGAGCAGCAGCAGGCAGATCATACAGGTAACTCCAGAGACACGAGGTTTTTGTGTTCAGATGATGTGAGACAAGCGAGACACAATAGCAAGTACTGTATTTTTCGGACTGAAAGGCGCACCAGATTATAAAGCGCAATATCAATAATGTTGAATTCTCTCATCTATTTACATACATAAGACGCACCGGACTTTAAGGAGCATTAAGTGAAACGAATGAACGACACTTGAGACTGATACGTTAGCCCAGGTGTCTACAAAGTGTAAAGAAAAGACGTCAAATTTAAAGAAACGCTCGCGGTGGACTTTTTCAAAATAAAAGGCAGTGAGAAACAGACGTTTACAATTATATAAATAAATAAATAATAAAAACTGCCTAGTTTTTTTTATTTCCTACAAGGACTCAAATATACATTGAGTAATAATGTGTTCAATGCAGCTTTGCGCACATTTGTTTATGTTTTATAGAAATGAAGCTTAAAGTCACATGGCTAATTTGTATAAACTATAAGCGTTGAAAAAACAGGTGCTCCTTGTGCTCTGATGTGGTCAGTTTCTGTCGGACTAAAGGACCCAACTTACTCCTTGACGCTCCTGACTACGGTAGCCTTAATGCTCCGACAATCCATCAAGCGGTGAGGCTTCGTAATTTACGAAAATCGTACTAAAACATTTTGACAGATTTTTGAGCACCGTGTACCACATAAAATCAGTTTGAGGTCAGTAAGCACAACCAGAATTAATGCATAAGGCGCACCGGATTGTAAGGCGCACTGTAGATTTTTGAGAAAATTAAATGATTTTAAGTGCGCCTTATAGTCTGAAAAATATAGTATGTTAGCGCCACTGTGCTTGAATTCAGCCTGTAGTCCAGAAAATTTTAGCAATAATGACAAGAGTATATGTTTTTTAAGGCATTTTTAATACTTTTGGACCCCTCTGGTGTAGTGAGAAGTATAGTAATTGGCCCTAATGCTTCCTTGAAGTCCAGCAGGTCCTGTGTAGGAATTGTGCACAATGTGTTATATACATGTTTCCCACTGTGTTCTCCTCTATGGGATCAAGTTTCTCCATCAGTGAAAATGTATAGAGCTTAACAGTGGCTGTAAGTAAATTTTCCATTAAATTTTCCCATAGACTTTTTGTCAAAAAATCGCATATAAAATGGAAGATTCTGCAAAACGCTTAATAACTTAGTGGTTTATAACATTTCAGAAACAGACATTTTATAAAATTATAGGCCTTGTGGTCATTAGTTATCATGTTGCCTGATTGTCCCTGAGCAAGCGTCAGACTTTGTTCCAAACGGCAGAATCAGGGGACAGAACTTCCATTTAAAATATATTTTGAATCTCAGTGGGACTTAACAGGTTAAAATATATAAGTTAAAAAACACTGGGCCTGTTCAACAAGGACACCAACTTTTGTAGAAATCTTTTGTTAGGAAAAGAATTGTAACAAATGATGATGTAAGTGTAAGATAAAGTGCCATAAACCAAAACGTATTAAATATTAACAATGTTCTAATCCATTCACTGTGGGCCCAAGCCGGCATACATTCTGTGCTACCAGCAAGTTTATCGTATAAAAATGAGAAGAAAAAGAAGCATCCACAATAAATGAATACTGATCAGAGCTTTACTACTACTACTACGTAAAGCAAGTTTCTAAAGATGAGTTTCTAAAGTTTCTCTGTCTTGTTTGTGAGCAGAAGTGCCAGGTCCTTTGCCCTTATCATGCTTAATAAGTTCAGCTGACAGGCCAATACTCCTGTCTGTGGATGTCAGCGCCACGGAGCAGAGGAGACCACGATCCGCTCTCTACCTCTGCTGTTTTGTTATCCTTTTGAATGTTTTAAAACAGACCGGGCTCCTCTCCTCGATGTCACTAGCACTGTTTCTTCAGATCCGACTGCTGCTGCTTTGCCACTCACCCATTAAGTTATTTAGTACTCGCCTCCAGGTAGAAAACTCTTACACGGGTACAAAGTATAAATAAACCACTGAGCACTTTGGCCCTTAAACAGTATCTTTCCTGTCCTCCACAGTCCTGACAGGAGACTTGTGGTGCATTGCTGGTGTAGGCACTGGACAGCTGATTAGGAAGTATATTTACTGCTACAGCCAGTGCGTCGAAGTTGTACACTGGGGTCAGAGTGGAGACCTCATATCGTTGCTACACAGGAAGTGGCCCTGCTGATCCCTCCCAGGCATCTGACAGCACAGCCCGCCCAGGGAGGTCTCAGATACGCGCTCACTGTTGTGTCAATGAGTGGACAGGCTGCACAGGAGTTGTTGTCTTCTTCCTGTTTGCTTCCTCCACTTTGCTGCTGCAGTATTAATGCCACTCGGCCAGAGAAAGTTGGAGCGCGCTGGCTGGTCAAAGGCGGGTCTCGTTGCCCTCTCTGGAAAGGCCAAGAGGTGATGGACTCTGGGTTCGTTCCAGCCGGTCCTAGCCAACTCTCCAACTCAAACTCTGCTGGTAATTGGCCTAGGACAGCCTCCACAGGGGCCATCATGTGAGAGGAGCATGGCACTTCCACTGCACTACACTTGTTTGTGCTGCTCAGGCTCGGGCCATTCTGTCCTTCCCTTACCACCTCTAATCTTGATCATGTTTTAATAATTTGTTTTTTATTCTATATATTTTTCTCTCATCTATGCACATAAAAAATACATATCGTCCATATCAAGTGGAAACTACCCTAACCCCAACCCTAACCCTAACATAATTTGTAGAATTTATGTAGATAGATTACTTTTTATTTCTATATAACATACCGTATTTTTTCAGATTATAAGGCACATTAAGCGAAACAAACGGACGACACTTGAGACTGATCCCTTAGCCCAGGCGTCCACGATCCATCGGCAGATCTGTCTAGTGGTAGTTTTCAATTTAACAGCTACATTTTACCTTTTGTTTAGTAGAGATTGGCAATTTCAGTGTTGAAATTAAGATCAGGATTTGTGTGTTAAACAGGTGGGAATGAAACAAAACTCAACATCAGGTATGTTTTTGATGAGGAAACAACATTCAGGGTTCCCAGAGTCAGGGAAATCCTAGAAAAATCAGGAAAATCCTGGAAAAGTCATGGAAGTCATAGATAGATTACTTTTTATTTCTATATAACATACCGTATTTTTCGGACTATAAGGCACATTAAGTGAAACAAATGGACAACACTTGAGACTGATCCCTTAGCCCAGGCGTCCACGATCCATTGGCAGATCGTGGCCTCATTCGCCCAGCGTTGTCTTGGTGAATGTGTATTATGAATGTGAATGTGGGTGGATAATTTAAGTTTTTTTTTTTTTTTTTTCTTATGAGGAGGACTCAAATATACACTGAGTAATAATGTGTTTAATGCAACTTTGAGCACATTTGTTTGTTTTACAGAAACAAAACTTAAAACCACATGGCTCATTTGCATAAACTATAAACGCTGAAAAAACAGCTTGCTCCTTGTGCGTTGATGTGGTCAACTTCTGTCGGACTCTGCGAGGCTTCTGACTACGGTAACTGTAATGCTCCAACAATCCATCAAGCAGTGCAGCTTCATAGCTTACCAAAGTCGTACTAAAATATTTTGACTGATTTTTGAGTGCCGTGTACCATATAAAATCGGTTTGAAGTCAGTAACCACAACCAGCACTGTCGATCTTTGAGAAAATTAAAGGAAGTGTGCCTTATAGACCGAAAAATACGGTATTTGACAGAAAATAGCAGTTTTGATTTAAAAAGAAGACATATTGTACTTTTGTCTGCTGTATAATCTTTGACACCTGCGAGCTGACATTGCCATAAACGTCATCACAACAAATGGCTGTGAAGTTGTTGCCCCCTCCTATGGACAGCTACAAATCACTCTAGCAAGCTTTGAATTATGTTTTCATTTGTACTTAAATTACTACGTGTATCACCAATTAAGAAATTAAAATTTAGAACTAAATTAGCGCAGAGCAGTGGGCGTATGCCTTTGGCGGAGAAAACGGGAGCTGAACGGCCAAATGGTGTCTTGAAAATAAGAGATTAAAGATTACTCAAACATCCAATGAATCACTCCAAAAACAACTTCGGGTGAGTAAATGGTGAGGGGAAACAACTGTAACATGGTAAAATGCTTTATTAAATCAATTTTGCATTATTTTGCAGTTCTGCTTTCAAATGATTAGAACCCCTTTAGGCACAGTTAAGAGTATCTATATCGTATTTGTACAATTACTGAAAAAGGTTGCATTTTAAGTGTGACACAAAACCAAACCATCTTTAAGTTGAATAATTTAAACATCATTACTGTTAATAAATTGTACAATAGTGTTTATAGTGTTTTTTTTACCAGTCTTCACTAGAATTGTCACTGTTTCTATCTCTTCTTCTTTCCTAGTTTTTACATTTTCAGTACCATCTGTCCATTACTTCTCTCTTTTCCCCCAATAATCTCTAATAAACCTGTGTTATCATCAAAGGCAGGTTAAGGAGCTTTAAACAGGTGACAGATGAATCAGTTATCAGCTCCTCCCGCGTGTGAAATGTTCCCGTCACGCTTTTCATTCCAACAGCGGATCATTTGGTTACAGGATTACTGCGATATCCAAATTTCCCGTCTTTACCTTGTCGCGTGTGGTGTGTCCTGCCCTCCTTTTGCGTGTAAACGTTCGGGATTATTTTAGGATTACCTGTATGTACAAGCCTTCACACTAAAATCAGAACATGTCGGGGCACTCCTTCTTGCTCCAGCCCAGTTTTACCTTTATTATTGCAGTAAGTACTATAAAATAATGAATACAGAGATGGAATTGTGTCTGTTGTTGCTCTGAAAAAGTAGTAGTAACATAATCCCCAGACTTTAAATAGGAGGTATTTTACTTCTATGGGGTATTAACTTCTAAAACATAACATATTTAGATCAACATGTTACCTTTTATAGATTTGAAAATGCTGTATTTGCCAAAAACAACGTATTTGCATGTTTTAAAAGATTCACTTTCCCTTTTAAAGCTCTGAATCCCCCCTCGTTTTGCTCTC